AGAACAGAAGCACTAAATATGTCTTAGGCCAATTAACCAAGATGTCCCATGAAATCATGACCCTAAAATTTTGAAGAACCAAATCCCATTAGGTGTTTGGTTGTACATAAGCAACCTCAGCAGCTACTCTTTTTGTTGTTGTAAATATATCACACAATTTTTGCCAATTCAACTTTTTACAGGTGTACAACTTATTGACAGCAATTACAATAATCAGCTGTGCAACTCAATCCTTAATCAATGCTATTTTTTCATCACCATTAACTCCTCTTTTCTTCTTCCCTCCCATCTCTGGTAACGACTAATAAACTTTGGTCTCTGTACATTTGCCTTTTCTTGTCTTTTTATATAAATGAGGTCATTCAGTATTTGTCCTTTTGTGATTGGCTTTTTTCACTCACCATAATGTCTTTAGCTCTATCCATTCTGTACCATGTATCAAAACTTCATTTCTCCTACTGGCTAAGCAGTATTCCACTGAATGTATATACCACATTTTGTTTATCCATTCATCTGTCGATGGGTGTCTAGGTTGTTTCCATCTTTTAGTTACTGTGAAAAACTTGAAAGCAGAGACTCAAAGAGATTTGTACAGCATATCGATTACAGCACTATTCATAAGTTTATTCTTCTGTTTTTGAGAATATACACAACAGAACATAAATCAGTTCTACAACTCAGTGACACTGATTACATATTTCAAGTTGCACAACCATTCTCATTCTCCTTTCCCTAAATTCCTCCTCTATTAACATAAACTCACTGCTCCCTAAGTCTCCTATCTAATCTTTAGAGATGCATTCGTCAATTTGATCCCATACAGATAGTTCTTAACACAATGCAATGCTCAAGGCAAACATTCTTTTCTTTTTTTTTTTTTTTTAATTTTTATTGTGATTTGGGAAAAAGTTTACAGAGCAAATTCATCTTCCATAGAGCAGTTCACATACTCAAGGCAAACATTATTTACTGATTAAGCAAAACTATTCTTTGCTTAAGGCATTGACCTGCTAACCAAAAGGCAAATGGTTCAAACCCACCAACTACTCCACAGGAAAAAGATGAGGCAAAGATTTACAGCCTTGACTGCTCTGAAAGGGATCACAATAAGAGGTCCCAGAGTGAAGGAAAATGTGGGACAAAACTCAAAATCATAAAGATGACCAGGCTTCTGGTCTGATGAAGACTAGTGGAACCCCTGAGACTATAGCCCCTGGACACTCTTCAAGACAGGAACTAGGAAAAAAAAAAAAAAACAGCCCTGGAAACCCTATGGGGCAGTTCTGTAGGGTCCTATAGGGTCACTATGATTCAGAATTGAATTGATGGCAGTGGATTTGGTTTGATTTTGGTTTATTCCTTGTTTAAAGAAGACTCTAGGTATTATTTTTGGTTTAAGGTTTAAAGATAATCACAGGGCTATAGTTTTGGGGTTCATCCAGCCTCAATGGCTCCAGAGTCTGGATTCCAGGACAAGTTGAAATTTTGTTCTGCATTTTCCTTCTGCCACCTATCTTGAAGATCTTCATTCCTCTCCAGGGCTATCCTTCAATGCAGGGAGTTATCTTCTGTGCCTGAAGTTCTATTAATAGCCTCCCAACTGGCCTGTTTCCATTCTCATCTTTCTGTAATCCGTTCTCCAAGGAGTCTGAATGATTCTTCTAAAATGTAAATCTGATCATGTCACCAACCCTTCTTAAAACCCATTCATTGCTTTCCTCTGCCTAGGATAAATTCTAACATCTTTTATGTAGTTGTTCATGACCTACCTGGTCCTTAAGCGCCTCATCTGTTCCAGTCACACCAAATTTCTCTCAGTTCCTTTCAGCAATTGTGCTCTCTCATCTCCAGGTCTTTGCAATGCTGTTTCCTCTCCTGGAAGAACTATTCACCCACCTCCCACCACTTGCCTGGGAAACTCTCACTCATATTTTGGTTTCACCCAAATCACAATAATAAAAAAAAAGAAACCTCATGACTAGGAAACCCTATGGGCAGTTCTACTCTGTCATATAGGGTTGCTATAAGTTGTGATCTCCTAGCCTGCACCCAACAAGAAGGTCTTCTCCACACCAACTCTGTGTGAGGCCTGATCATTGGAGGTTTTTTAAACTCCCAGATGATTTGAATCTGCAGCCAAGGTTAAAAGCCACTGCTCAATAGATTATGTATTTGTCTCTATATTCCACTGAGAGCAGTATCCCTGAGGTATCCAAAGTATCTGGAAAAGGATGAGTGATGAGTAAATATTTGTAGGATGAATGTGCGGCAGGAGTTGTGGGTATGAGACAGCATAAAGTGACTGTATGAATGACTTTAACCTATGTGCGTGGTGGTGTAGTGCCTAAGCCATTTGACTGCTAACCAGAAGGTTGGCAGTTCAAACACACCAGACACTCCGTGGAAGGAAGACTGAGCAATCTACTTCCATAAAGATTTACGGCCTTGGAAACCCAAAGGAAGTCGCTAAGAGTCAGAATCCACTCGATGGCAGTGAATTTGATTTTTCTAGTGTGAACTTGTGTGGAATGACTCCCACTGATAGTGAAACCGGTGCATGTGACAATGTGGGGTGTTATAGTGTGTGGATGGTTGTGTCCACTGTGAGGATCATTGTGAGTGGCTGAACACTGTGTAATACTGTAGGGTGTCACCATGTCGTGGCTGTGACCTGGATGAGGGTCACTGTGAATGGCTGTACTGTGTGACAGTGCAAAATAACACCACAGGAGTGCCTGTGTCATGTGTGCTACTGACCGTGAGTGGCTGGAAGACTGACCAGGATATTGGACTCCACCGTTGCCAAGGAAGAGTTCGAGGAAGAAGGAACAGGATATACCTCTCACCAAGATGGCGGCTGCAGGGGTAGCAGATTGTCGTTGGAAGGAGTAACATCGCTTATAACCGGGAAGGGAAAGTAGAAGGCGGGGAGGCGCAGGCTGGAGGCTCAGGGGGGCCGGCACGGCTTGCTCGCCCCGCGAGGTCCTAGCGCCGACCTTCTCTCGTCCCTGGCGGCCGGCGCACGACCGATGGGCGGGGCGTGGGTGCCGGGAGAACAGGGCAGTGGAGGCGGGACCTGCACTGGCGGTCCTATGGCGTGTGACCGGTTGGGCTTGGCGTGTACCTGTCGGCCATTAGTGGAGTTGAGTAGCTGGAGCAAGCCAAAAGCCTGGGGGTTGGCACCCAGCAAACAGAAAATGCTGAGCTCAGCCCTGAGCCCCCAGAATGACACCTGGACTCAGCCCTTCTCTCTGCTTTTGGGTCTTGGCGCAGCCCTGTACTTGGGCTACTACTGGTCATGTGTGCCCCAGGTGCGTGCGGGTCCAGCGCTCTGGCCGGTGGGTTTGGGACACTCGGGTCTAGGGCTCAGCTTCTAGCCCGGGGCTCAAGCCCTTTGTGGGAATTGGGATGCTTGGACCGTTGCCCAGCGCTACAGCCAGGCTCTGCTTTGCAATTATGACCTTATCACCTAATGGAGAGTCAATTCTGTGCTGCCTAAATTCTTTGCATCTACGCGCTCCCCACGACATCTGGGTCTTTTGGGCATGGGGGACAGCTGCTCTTTTTGATATGGGTGGAAAGCATCTTGAGGTGTCAGAGACATGTGCCTACTATGCTGTCCTTTTCTTCTTAGGCTGTCTAGCTGAGTTTCTCATTCACTGCACTGAATGCACCAGAGGCTTGTGCATTCAGGGATTGTAACTACGAACACTAACAGCTTCACCCTTGTCAACCCCGTAGGCCTAGTAGGGCCTCACTTCCCTTAAAAGCTGGCTGAATTTCCTCCCCTAGCTCAGACCTGATGGATAACCCTAACTGTCCTTGCCCGTTCAGCCCTATTTCAAGTTCTAAACCTCATGAATTGTGCAATGAGAAAATCTGAAAAGGTTGATTTCCATGAACTTGGAGATTTATTCTCACAGAAAGTTAGATAATACATAATTTATATATCCAGGAAAAGTGAAATCTTTTAATGACCATTAAATTCTATTCTAGGTAGCTTATTCTAACAAGAAACTATTGATTCAAGTCATCCTTTGAACTCTAAACCAGAGAACAGTTGCTGTCCAGTCAATTCCTATTCCTGGTGATTCTATAGGTGCCAGGGTAGAATTATGCTCCCTAGGATTTTTTTTTTTTTTTTTTTGTGATTTGGGTGAAGATTTACAGAGCAAATTCACTTTCCATACAGCAGTTCACATATACTTTGTCTCATGTCATTGACCACAGTTTACCACAATGCAACAGCTCCCCTCCCACTTCCTCCCCATAGTTACCCCTTCCCAGTGTCCATTCCTCCATACACTTCTGCCCCCTGAGCTGTCTCCCTGTGCATAAGCAGCCCTTCTTTCTCCCATGATTGTTCTCTCCAAGGAGTGTATCTACTTGAGGTAAATGTTTAACTCATATGCCTGTATTTTGTTTGGCTGAAAACCACAGGTGTGGGCTCAATTCCAGACCTAAAGGGCAGCTAGGGGCCATAGTCTCAGTGGTTCCACCAGGCTCTATTGGACCAGCAAACCTGGTCCCCACCTTTTTTTTCTTTTCTCCAAATGATTTTGAGTTTTGTTACACATTGTTCTCCCCCTCTATCAAGGACCTCCTACATAGATCCCCTTTCAAGTGGATGAGAGTGGTAGCCGGGCACCATCTAGTTCTTCTGGTCTCACAGTCATATAGGCTGCAGATCAGATGGTGTACCAGTCTCTAGGACTAATTGTTTCCATGAATTTTGGTTTTCTTCATCTTGACGAGGAGAGACCCATCATTGCATCTAGATGGCAGCTTGCTAGCTTTTAAGATCCCAGTCGCTACTCGCCCAAGTAGGAGGTGAAACAATGTTTTGTATAGTATATTATGCCCATTGAACTTGATGTCCCCTTGCGACTATGGTCCCAAGCCCGCAGGTTCAACTACTCGGTCCCTCTGTGACCAAGCCGTGAACAACCTTGCCCCTTGTCAGCTCTACCATACACTCCCTAGGATTTTTTTTACTTTTCACTGTGATTTCAGTAAACGCCATAGGATTTTTAATGGCTCACTTTTTGGGGAGTAGATTGCTAGGACTTTCTCCTCAAGTGCCTCTGGGTGGATCTGAACCTCCAACCTCTTAGCTAACAGATAGTCTTGTTCATTGTTTGCACCACCTAGGGACTCCAAAAGATTTAGAGGGGATTTTAATATTACCTAGACTTTTTTGTATTTTCAAAACCTTCTGCCTTAACATAATATTGTTTATAAAATCAGTTTACCTGAATAAAACAATTAAAACATCAAAACCTCACAATACCCTATGAGCCTCATCTTATATGCCTTATTGGAAAGTCATTCATTTAGGCACATCTTTTTGTGAGGGCTGATCACAAGTATTGACTGGAAGTGTTCCTAACTAAATATTTTCCTCTGCTTGCAACCAGCCACACACTATATACTCTAAACTCTTCCTTGACTTTCAAATACTGATTAAAATACAGAGGAAGTGCCATTCTAGAAGCTCTGAGGACATAGTTTCGATTACCTAGCAGTAGTAATAGAATGGTACTGACTCATCCACAGTGACCTATGGCATATAATTCATTCTCAAGTGTGAGTCAAAAAACTTTGCTGGAGTTAAAATGAAACTAATCCACACAAATCAAACTTGTGAACTAATTTACTGTTTGACCAAGGATTTATTTAATATTTTGACAATTAAGAGGCAATATAACCTGATTAAGAGCACAGGTTCTAGAGTCAGACCTAGAGTTGAATTCTCAGCTCTGCCACTAACTAGTTTTGTGACCTTTGACAAGTTAAGCAACATTGAAATATGCTTCCACAGGCAGAATAGAACTGTTGTGAAAATCACGAGGTAGAATCATATAAAGCCCATAGCAGGATGCCTAGCCCATAGTGAGCACTCAACAAATTTTACCTACTGTTGTTGTTGTTGTTATTTGCCATAGAGTCGGACCCTACTCATAGCGACCCCTCCTTGGGTTTCCGAGGCAGTATCACTACGGAAGTCGATTGCCCCATCTTCCTTCCAAGGAGTGGAGTAGTGGTGATATCATTATAATTTTTAATCCTGCTTTGCTTCTTGCCTTGCTGCTTCACTTTGGGTTCCTTTACTTAGAAAATATCCTATCTCAAATGATTGAGCCCAGTACATGTATACACACACAATCAACCATAACCCACTATTGCCATGGAGTCAATTACAACTCATTGCAACATTTCGGGACAGAGTAGAACTGCCCCACAGGGCATAGGGTTTGCAAGTCTGTAAATCTTTGAATTGAACAAACTGCCTCATCTTTCTCCAGTGGAGTGGCTGGTGGGTTCAAACCACCAACTTTTTGGTTAGCAACAGAATGCTTTAACCACTGTGCTACCAGACCCACCAGATGGTGGAAGTCACATCTCACAACAGTCACACTATCAACTTAGCCTCTCTAGTTTATAATTTGCCCAGCCTCTTTTCAGTATTGGGACTGTAGAAGAAACAGGAATCTGGTTCTCAAGTTCCTTAAGACAAAGAAAAAAAAACCGTCAAGTTGATTCTGACACGTAGTGACCTCTCCTTGAGTTTCCGAGGCGGTATCTCTACAGAAGTAGATTGCCCAACCTTCCTTCCAAGGAGTGGCTTGTGGGTTTGAACCGCCAGCCTTCTGGTTAGTAGTCAAATGCTAGGCACTATGCCACCAGAGCTCCTCAAGTTCCTTGTTGTTGTTGTTATGTGCCGTTGAGATAGTGACCCCTCCTTGGGTTTCTGAAGCAGTTATCACTATGGAAGTAGATTGCCCATCTTTCTTCTGAGGAGTGGCTGGTGGGTTTGAACCACCAGCCTTCTGGTTAGCAGTCAAGTGCCTTAGGCACTATGCTACTAAATGTTATTTCCATTACTGAGCTTGAGACCTTTTTTTAAAAAAATTAAATTGTTATTGTGATTTGGGTGAAAGTTTACAGAGCAAATTCATTTTCCATACAGCAGCTCACATACACTTTGTCTCATGACATTGACTACAATTTCCCACAATGCAGCACCTCCCCTCTCACTTCCTCCCCATAGTTACCTCTTCCCTGTCTTTCCCTCCCATACACTCCTGCCCCTTGAACTGTCTCCCTATGCATTCTAGTCTCTTCTATTCTCCCATGATTGATCTCTCCAAGGAGTGTATCTACTTAATGTAAATGTTCAGCTCATATGCCTGCCTTTTGTTTGGCTGGAAGCCACAGGAGTGGGTTCAATTCCAGACCTGAAGGGCAGCTGGGGGCCATAGTCTCAGTGGTTCCATCAGGCTCTATAAGATCATCAAACCTGGTCCCCCTGCCCCCTGCCTTCTTCTTTTTTTTTTTTTTTTTAATGATTTTGAGTTTTGTTCCACATTGTTCTCCCACTCTATCCAGGGTCTCCTACATAGATCCCCCTCCGAGTGGTTGACAGTGGTAGCCAAGCACCATCTAGTTCTTCTGGTTTCATAGGATTGCATGGTGTACCAGTCCCTTGGACTAATTGTTTCTCTGTGTCTTTGGTTTTCTTCATTCCTCTTTGCTCTGGATGAGAGACCCATCATTGCATCTCTGTGGCTGCTTGCAGGCTTTTAAAATCCCAGTTGCTATTTGCCGAAGTAGGATGTGGAACAATGTTTTTGTGTAGTATGCCATGCCAATTGAGCTTGATGTCCCCTGCGACTATGGTCCCAAGCCCACAGGTCCAACTACTCACTCCTTCTGAGTAGCTGGCTACGGCCAAGAAGTGACTACAACCTTGCCCCTTGTCAGCTCTACTATATACCTGGGAATTTTTACAGAACATACCGATACACTTATAGAAACATTGTCTGCCAACCCTATACATGGTCTTGGGCACACTCCCCCCTTGCGTGGACATACCTAATAGTTCAGCCTGGCCACCCATCTATCCACCTGTATATCCATGTTTGCCTTCAACGACAACGCAGTACTGTATGTGCAAAGGGTTTCATTTTTGCTGTCTGTACCTCCCACACATCACTGTCTTGAGCTTGAGACCTTTTAGCTCTGAACAGCATCCTCCTTCATCAGCCTTCTATGTAGCCAGGCCCTCTCATTCACTTGATGCCCATCCAGAGAACCAAGCAGAGGGGCTGAAAGTCAGGGATGAGTGCCCACTTGCCTCACCTGTGCCCGTCACCCCATCCCTGCTGCCTTCTCCCAGGTGGCATGACAGGAGAGAAAAATGTGTTCACATTAGGATTATCCCTCCTTTAGAGTATGGTCTAGCAGCAGAGACCTCAAGAGAAAACTAGATGCTGTGGTAGAAAGGAGCCTTCAGCAGTGGTGAATACACACCTTAGGGAATAGGAATGTGCAGGCAATTGATGCTAAGGCTAGAAGCCAGAATGGCCAGAGCTAGTCTTGGGAAGATGACAGGGTGCAGGTAATCCAACTGCAAGGTGAAGGTCACAGACGGAATGCACTGAATTTCTTCAGTACCTGCCCAGAACTCCAGCCCCTCTTTCCTGCTGGACACTTCTTCTCCTTCTATTACCTGCCTCTCTCTAAAATGGGGTTGGGGCATGGTAAGGCTTAGTGGGGCAGACAGGGACAGATTACCCAATAAGCAAGATATTTATGGGTTTAATTGTGCTTATTTACTAATCTGTAGTGCAGTTTCACTTGTTTTTCCCACAAGTTGTGGTGAAACCCATGTGCAATTGGGCACTACACATTATTAAGTAAACACAATGAAGTCCCTGTGTACCTTACTTATTGTAAACCAGAGTATACTGTGCTTACTAGTTAATCTGCCCCTGGACAGCCAGCACCTGCCAACTGCAGCAGACCCTAGCCTTGGTTCTGAGTCAGTTCAGGGTCAATTCTAGAGATGACACTCCAAAACTGAGAGGTTCTTTGTGGCCCTAGCTGGACCATATTGTCATTCCACATTATGTTGATTATCTTACCCACAGACCAAACAGTGCCCTCCAACCTGGGGGGGGGGGGGGGGTGCCTCCCTGCCTTGGTGCAAAATCAGGGCAATGAGGTTGATTGGGTTGTGTGATTACAGAAGCCTCGATTGGTGGCAGGGCCCCGGTTTTTGGCCTTCCTGGAGCAACACTGTCCAGTCACTGTGGAGACTTTCTATCCTACACTGTGGTGTTTTGAGGGGAGGCTACAAACCATCTTCAGAGTCTTAATGCAGTCTCGGCCCTTAGTCTCTTACTGGAGGTAAGAAGGGACAGAGGGTATGAACATGAAGCTTCAAGTAGGGGCTCCTACTTTGTCTGCCAAGGTAATCTTTGCTCCAGGTACCTCTGTATTATGAGGGAATGAAAAAGAACATGTATATGGAAGTGCTATATAATTACCATGAGGTAATAGTCACTCTTTTGTGTCCTTGTTCCTCCTTGTTAAAGCCTTAATGCTCTGCATAAAGCATGCCCTAAAGGATGCTAAAGGGGAGTTGTATGACTTGTTTCTGGGTGGTGTTGGAGGTAAAACCTTTGTGAAGTATCTCATGTTCCTAATAGTGTCTGTGTGCCCTCTCTCCAAAACCACAGTGAAGTCCTCCAAACCCCGGATGGAGGACAGCTCCTATTAGACTGGGCTGAGCAGCATGACAGCAGTCAATATCCTGACCCTACCACCCAGCCCATTGTATTACTGTTTCCTGGCATCACAGGCAGTAGCCAGGAGACATATATCTTGCACCTAGTTAACCAAGCTTTGAGGGATGGCTATAGGTAAGGATGGGCACAATGTAGGAGGGGTTGAAAGGTGTCTGAGAACTTGTAACAGGGCATAGAGTGCTGTACAAAGGGAGTCTTTTGATTAGGGTCTTTCTGAAGGCTACCAAAAGGGGAAAGGTGCTCCTAGGGAGGATCTGGCTAAGATGTACCTGTGTGTGTCACAGGGCTGTCGTATTTAATAACCGGGGCTGCCGTGGAGAAGAACTGCTGGTGAGTCGCCTCCCATCATAGCATGAAGCACCAGCCCTAACCCCACCCTCATCAGCCGTGCTTACCTTAGGCTTCTACCTACTTATTTTTCCTCCATTTCCCTACTACCTCTCCCTTCCCTACACTTGATTTTAGCCAAAAGGCCAGGAAGTGATGTCTCTTGTCTTCTAGCCAAGGCCTCCCTCCCTCCCTACCCAATGATATGGTTTACCCTCAGACTCACAGGGCCTTTTGTGCCAGCAATACTGAAGATCTGCAGACAGTCGTGAACCACATAAACCACCGTTTCTCTAAAGCTCCGCTGCTGGCTGTGGGCATCTCTCTTGGAGGGTAAAGGTTGCCTGGGCTTAACCCAAAGGCCCAGTCTTTTCCCCACCCCACCCCACCCCTACCCTTGATGTCCTTTCCCTCTCCACTTGCCCTAACTCATGAATGCAAACCCTTTATTCATGGCCCGCTGGTCCAATCCTGCAGGATGCTGGTGCTGAACCACCTGGCGCGGACTGGGCAGGCTGCAGGGGTGGTGGCAGCACTGACTTTCTCTGTATGCTGGGACTCCTTTGAGACTACTCGCTCCCTGGAGACTCCACTCAACTCACTGCTCTTCAATCAGCACCTCACTGCTGGACTCTGCAGATTTGTGGACCGGTAGGGTCTCAGCAAGTGGGAAGGGGGCAGCAGACAGGGTAAGGGTAGCAGATATGCCAGGTTCTCCTAGTACTCAGGTGAGTTCTATAGGTGGGATTTCTCACTCAAAAGAGTAACATAGGCTAAGTGCTCAAGTCCAGAAGTAATGATAGTGGAGGGAAGAGGGCTTTTGGAAGATTGGAATTTCTTTTAGATGCAAACCTCCATCTGCTATTTCGCAGAAACAGAAAGGTGATTGAAAAAGTGGTGGATGTAGACTTTGTGCTACAGGTATATCTTTCGACCATGCCCCTCCTCTTCCCTCAGTATTTTCTTACTCCTTATCCTTACTCGAGCCTATCGCACCCACCCCCACTACCCCTAGGCGCGCACAATTCGCCAGTTTGATGAGCGCTACACAGCTGTGGCCTTTGGGTATCAAGACTGTGTTACTTACTACCAAGCAGCGAGCCCAAGAACCAAGGTAGATGCCATCCAGGTCCCTGTGCTCTGCCTCAATGCAGTAGATGATCCCTTTTCCCCAGCCAGTGGTGAGTACCCTAAACTTTGATGTTTAAGCTGCAGGGAAAACATGCTGTCAAGTACAAATGGAGAACCTGGGCTCTCAGTAAAGGCCAGGGTTCCTAAATTCCCACCACCCTTCTTGAAGCCCTTCCCCTGCAGGCTGCCCAACACTCTCCCCACGTTGCACTGCTCATCACAGCCCGTGGTGGCCACATTGGCTTCCTGGAAGGGCTGCTCCCCTGGCAGCACTGCTACATGAGCCGCCTCCTGCACCAGTATGCCAGAGCCATCTTCCAGCACAAAGAGGAGCTGCTCAGCCTCAGAACTCTCCTACCTTCTGAAAGAGGCAGAACTGATAGGAGCATCATTTAGGATTTCAGTTCAGTCTTCTCTTGTTTATTAAATAACTTGTCTTGCCTAAATGGGCTCAGATTCATTTCCCTTTCTTCAATACTGGGGTAGACTATCCAGCAACCAGAACTTACTACCTGTTTAGCCTGGATGGCTTGAAACTACCTGCTGAGGCCATGGACTCTTGGGTTTTTGTTTTTTGTTTGTTTTTTTGCCCCTTCCTTCCCTACCACCAAGTCCCAGGCCAATCCTTACCCCAGCAAATGCCACAGGCTCCATTAGAAGAACAACTGACCACAAGGCTGTGAGAGGAGGAAGAGAAACTAATGGTTTCTGCAAAGACAGCAGTTGCTTCAGGCTCTTGGGCATCTTCACATATTTCTGGAGAAAGGACAAACTCAACTCTGGAGTCTCTGGTAGGCGGAGGGAAGGAGGCAGGTAGTGTGGCCTGGTTTCCAGACACCACTGTCCTAGGTGAATCCACAGATGATGAATGCAGGGTTCCTGGGACCCACAGGGCCTGTGATCCTGTCACAGGGCCACAGCCAAGCTTGAATTGGGAAAGGTGAATAGCGCCTATCAGTCTTATTAGGGGCAACCTCAGCTGTGAACCCAAATGGAGTGATCAGTGGGGGTCCAGGCCTCCACTTTTGTCTATTTGTCTAGACGGTGGCAGTATCCAGGTCCCTGATTTCCAGGGGTAAGAGAGGCTAAAGAAAGCCTGGAAAGGCACTTTGGAGCAGCATGATGGTCACAATAATAAGCCCGACACATAGCAGCAGCAGCAGCCACACAGGAACACTCCCTGCAGGAAGGTAAGGGGAAAAAAATCAACAGGTGAAGGGGCTTCACAGCCCGAAGAGCAGGATCTCCCACCTAGTCTATTCAAGGAGGGGCAGATAGCTACAATTCTCCAAGGGATGAGTTTTTGCTACAGCTAAAGGTGGGGTGGTACCCCTCTCCCAACAATGACTCACGTCGTGAGGGCAGCAGGTGCAGCTGGCAACGACTGTCCACAGCCACAGAGAACAGGGCAGTTTCATGGGACCCAAGGAGTTCTGGACCACGACCCTTCTCGGGTAGAAAGGCCACATCTGTCACCACAATGCCATGGGCCTCCTTCACATAGTAGAGGCGCTAGGGGCAGGAGGAGAACTAGTGAAGGAAGGCCCAGTTGGGAGGCTCTCTGCTGGAAAACACACCTCCTGCCCCCAGAAAGCCTTCCCTCTATAGGGTGGGCCAGACTCTTTCTGCACACCTTGGATAGAGGTAGGCAGAGAGTCCCCACCCCAAAGAACCCTCAGGGCTGTGCCCACCTCCACCCATTACCTGGAGAGAGAAAGCTATGTAGATGGCAACAGAACCAGTGACCGTGCCCAGGCCTAGGAAGGTGCCCGATTCACTGCAACAAATAATAAAAGGCTCACTGTCCTGGAGGCCTGTGCAGAGAGTGACATTCACCAACAACGGTCCCCTGGGATTCAAGTGGGACTCCTTCCCAAGCTCCCCAGGCACTCCCATACTCAGCCAAGTCAGCACTGCCTCACACCTGACACTGAGGCAGGAGATAACTTCATGGCCACAGGACTTGGTGCGAAGGGGCAAGAAGGTGGAACCATCCCAGGCTGTGAGGTAGCATGGTGGAGGCTGGCGCTGGCGCTTGTGGGGAATCTGCACTGTGAAGAGTCTCAGCCTAGCAGGCTGGTCTGGAACCTGCCCAAACCTAGGCCCAAGAGAGAGGCTGTTCTGCTCCTGGGACCTGCCCAACGTCCACAAAGGGTTGTGCTCTCCTGCACTCTAGTCAGGACTGGGCTAACACTTAGCAAAGCACAATCCTCCCCAATTACCCTTTTGTCTCCACCCCCCCCTCCATTCCCACATCTGGGCTGTGCCACTTTTAGACAGCCTTTGAGGTCTTCACACCTGCAGGCCTGGTAGCGGTAAGGTGTGTTAGAAAAGGTGCGTCCGTTCTCTTGCCAGTGCAGCTGTGTCATCAGCTGATCCTTCTGCCACACGGAGGCCTTAAGGTCCCAGCCCACAGTTACCAGCTAGTCAGGAATAAAGATTCCAAGGATGGGCAGTTAGGGAACCCACTTACCAGACAAGCAGCATAACCACTCACTTCCTTCACCCCTCCACCTCCTTACCTTGTCATCAGGCCCCAAAGCCAGGTCTTCAATCTCCCCTTCGTGGGCTTTGAACTCCAGAATTTTCTTCAGGCTAGGTACCTGCAACCAAACTACTACTTTGGTTAACCCAGCACCCAGTTACGAGCACTCCTTTTTTAATGGCCACTCAATGCAGACTTCACTCACATATTTCTCAAAACCCATGTTCATTCAGTTTCTCACAATCTTGGCCTTGCTGCTTCTGGCAGCAACCCACCCTAACTCCCCCAAAAACCGTACCTGCCAGACACGAACGTAGCCATCTGTCCCTCCAGTAGCAAGCAGGGTGTTATCATGGTTGAAGCATACAACTTTCTGCAGTGGATCAGTGCTGAAGTCTGTCTGCACTGCCCGCAAATTCTCGACACTCAGTTCTATTCCCTCATGGTGGGTTTCTGCTCCAGATTTCTGCTCTGCTGGTGCTGCCCCCTTCCTTTGTCGAGGCCCCTGGTCCTTGGAACCTGCAACACAAACAGCCTGCCAGGTCCCAGGCTTCTGTGGTAGTACTAGCCTTTCTCCACATGGCAGGTGAACACCCAGCTTCCAGCCTTCTACCCATAGCTACACGTCTAGCCCCACTTCTTTAGAGAGATCAAGAGAAAAGCGATCTTACTCATTTCTTTTTCCAAAGGGCTGGAGAGGGGACTCCTCACCTGCCTTCTCTGTCTTCTTGTTGCCCTTCTGCTGATGGGTCTGGAAACGCAGGAGCTGACAGTGGGCATCCTGCCCTGCAGCAAGGATGTCACCAGCCAGTGCCAAATTCATGGTGGCTCGTGTCTCTGTGTCGTGGGAGTGTAGCAAGGTGGCACTCAGCCGCCCATTAATCTGTTCTAGCTGCAGAAAGTGCTAAGAAAGAGGAAACCAGAATGAGCAAGGCCCAGGGAGATCCAGAGACATCTTAAGGGCAAACTGACAATATCTATAGTCTGATGCCTTACCCCACTGATTACTGCACTTCCTAGTTCACAGGGCTTTCTGAAGTCAGTATTTTATTTGGGCCTCACAAACCTGTACAGCTGCCAGGGCAGTATTACTGCCAGTTTACAGAACAAGAAAGTGAGGCTCAGAAAGTGAAGGAACCTGGCCTAAGGCCAAATGAGTCGCTCTCGCCGCTGCTAGGAGGCAGACAGACATGTCTATGTGGCCTCCCCGGAAAAGGACAGGATAAGCCTCTGGAGCGGCTCCTGAGGTCGAGCTGAAACTCTCCTGCCTACGCACCAGTGTGTGCAGTTTTCACTTCATCTTAGGAGTCTCAGCTGTCCGAATGAAACTTGCGCCGGGGCGCCTGGCTTGATGGGGATCCCCACCAGGGAAGGAAAGGGTCAGAAACCGAGCTACGGCCCGTCTCCGCGACTCCCGGCCACCCCGGAATGACCCTTAGCCCGTGACGTAACCCAGCCCTAGTAGTCCTGTGCTCTCACCAAGCCATTCTTTATGCCGGTCTTCGCCGCGCCTCCTCCGCCCGCAGCGATGAGAAGCCCAGCACTAGAGTCCACTTGAAGCGCGTACAATGGGAACGGGGCCCGGTACAGCTCTGGCGCCCGGCGCCGGCCCATCTCACCCGAAACTCTTCACTGCTCACACCTCGGCACCTGGGACATGCCTGGTCCGGACCCTGACTTCCGCTCCAGCCGTTGTTGAACTTGGTTTGGTTGCCGCCTGGAGGACCCCAGACTACCCTCACATTCGCGGGGTTGCCAATACTCTAACTACACATATTTCCGAAGCTCTACCTCTCGGCCGTCTAATCCCGCCTTCCCGACGCGAACCTATCCAACCACTCCCCTCCGCGCAAGTGCAGAACTACCAATACGCGTCAGCGCTACCCGGCCAGGAGTGACGTATCATGGGCGCCAGGATCTTAGTTCCGCTCCCAGTGCGACGATAAGACCCGCCATCTTTATGCGGGGCGTGGGAGGAGTCCTGCTTCAGTAAGGGAACGACCTTGGTGAGTATGGAAAAAAGGAGGGAGGTAGTGCTAATAAAGATTACCAGTGGAGTTTGTTCCGTGTCAGTGGAGTTTGTTTCGACTCATGGCACCCACAGAACTGTGCTCAATTGGATTGTCATGATTGTGACCTTTTGGAAGCAGATTGCCAGGCTTTTCTTCTGAGGTGCTTGTGGATGGTTGAACAGCCAACACTTAGGTAAATACCTGGATGCTCAACCATTTGCACCACCCAGGGATTCCTAATAAGGTCTAATAAGTCTTTAATAAAGAATCCTGGGATTAGGGCTATTTACACTTTAAGGGTGATACACTGACTCATACAAGTGATTTGGCCAAGGGCACACAACAAAAACATGACCTATGGCTCTTGCCTCTTAAGGGAGGCAGCACAGACTTTAAAACCAAACAAAAAGACCTTTAAATTCCAAATCCACTTGTTCCTTGTATGAGGAAGCCACTATTTTAAGACCTAATTTCCCACCTAATGCTGTGGTTGGCAGAAGTGGGAGTCTTCTATCCTTTCTTGTGGCTTCTCCTTCGGCTCTTGAACGCCCCTGCCCCCTCTTAAACAGGTTTGTGGATGGAGGCTGCCTGCCTTCAGGTATTCTGATACTGCCGCTTCTTTGAGGGCAGGGGTTTGGAATGGTAACTTGGCTCTGAGTAGGCCTTGTCTCTGCCTGACACCCCAGTTGCCAGCTCCAGTTTCTTGTCTTTTGAGAACCAGCATATTCCCCTGTGAGTGGCTGACAGGAAAGCCCTTCCCTGCAAGGAAACACTCCTGCTCCCTGGACCAGTCTCCTTAGCAGGCACCCGTGTTTACCTAAGGTGCATCCTAAGTAATGGGCCCAATGGCTTCAGCTATCAGTTGAATTAATGTATGAAGGGCCTGGTAGGTAAGATTTGCTATCTCAAGTGCTCAGCCCTTGTCAGTCCCTTGCCTTCCTCAGGACATAATACAAGCTCTCTCTGCCACCTCTGTTTCCTTTGACTACCCCTAAGAGCCACCCCCCTCCACATTTGGGGAGCAGTGGCCTTGTAGGTATAGCCACCCATTCTGTCTGCTTAATAGGACACAAAAGTTTTGTAGGGTCAGGCTTTATTGGATACACTGAAGGCTGGATGGGGCCTGGAGTGCCCTTGGTCTTCTTCAACCAGGAGACAGCAGACTCCACAAGGGGCTTCCAGGGTTCAGAGCTGGAGAACACACCTGACCTCCAGCTAGCCAGCCCTTCAGTGTGTCTCTGGGGCTCCCAGAGATCTGGGGCCTCGTGGGAAGGGTGGTGTTTGGAGGAGGTGCTCCAGGGACCCTCCGTTGCTCTGGAACTAGGATGGCAACTTTGGTGGAATGGTCTCTGAACAGACAGACCTCTTTGGGCCAGAGGAAACCTTGGACTTCGAAGAGGCAGCGGCTTGTCTTGGTACTTGAAGGGGAGGCCTTGAGATGCGGGTGGGGTTTGGTGATTGAGGGCCTAGAGGCCTGAAGCTCCCGGTCTGGGAGGGTTTGCCTGGGGCTAGATCTGCCCGGGCCTGAGCCACTGGGGCTGGAGATGCTGGTGCCTGAGATGCCCGGGCTTGACACCCAGGAGCCTGAGCACTCTCGCCCTGAGGTCCGACTTCCTCCCGCCTTCTTTCTGGCAATAGATGCAAGGCCCTGGCCTGGCCCCGAGGTAGGCGGAGGCCGAAACCGATGCCTATGCGGAGGGGCCCGGACTCCTGGCCCTGTGCACAGGGCAGTAGTTGAGGGAAGGCCAGCAGCTGGGGCCCAGTCCTGTACCTGGGGATGGGGCAGGAGGGGCTGCGTGGCCGGAGACACACCAGACATATGGGATACTCCACTACTGGGGCCTGGCCGGTTCTGCCTAGCCATAGGCGCTGCAAAAGCAGTAGACGCAAGTCGTGTGCAATGCGGCGGTGCCCCAGATGGACTACCAGGGCCTGAGCCAGGGTTCCTGGGTCCCTGAACTCTGCAGGGTCCCTCTCGCTTGCCACGCATCCCTCCACCACCCCAGGGGACCCGGAATCCCTGCACTGAGGCAAGTGCCATGTCTGCCTGGAAGAGTGAACCCCAAAAGGTAGGCTGGGGCTGGAGGAAGTAAGTGAGGAGCTTGGTGGGCCTTCGGGATGGGAAAGAGAGTAGCAGCGTGAGATGGGGAGAGAGGAGTTCTGTGGCTGAGAGGGAGAGGAGTGATTCTGAACTGGAGAGGAGGAGAGCAGGTGAGAGGGGGAGGAGGATCGTGGAAGGGAGAGAGAGGGATGATTCTGGTGAAAGTAAGTGGGAGAGGTTGGGAGAGAGGAAGAGTAGAGATGTGGCACAGAGTCAGAATTGGAGTCAGAAGAGTAGAAACGTGAATCTGGAGAGTAGGTGTGTGGGGGAGAAGAGAAAGGTAGATGGGATTGAAGGGAAGAGGGGAAAGGTGAATGGGAGGGAGGAAGTGATTGATGGGGAGGGAGAGGCTGGTGGTTGCGGGGAGGGGAGTCGACAAGTTGTGAGAAGCCCTGAGTGGGGGGCCCTGGGGACACTGCGCTCTGTAGCACCACCTGGTCCTTGTTTTGAGGCAACATTGCCTTAAATCCAAAAGAGACCTGGGCAACAAGACCAGGGATTAGAGACCTGGCAGAGGCAGGACTGGAATCTCAGAAGCCTGAAGTGGCTGAGAAATCAGGGCCTTCTTCTGTGTGCATAGTGTGGCTCCAGCCTGGAGCAGATGTTGGCAGACCAAGGGAACACCTTGCCTTGCAGTAGCAGGCTCTCTGGGTGATTAGGCTGGAGGTTGGGTCTAAGCGTGGCCTCTCACTTCTTCGCAGTCAGCCATTGATATCAAATGTCTGGAGATGCAGGATCAGAGCTGCCTCTTGGGAGCTGAGGGGTAGCAGTGATTATCTAGGTGGGGCAGAAGGCAGGCACAGCCCGCAGGACCTGCAGACAGAGAGACAGAGCCCAAGATGTTGAGAGAATTGGACCTTTTCATCACATTTCCTCTTTTCTCTCTCCTCTTCTTTCTTCCCCTACAGTACTACTCTCTGGAGAATTGGTCCTTACTACCAGGATATCAGGGAGCTCTGGTAGCATAGTGGCTAAGGCACTTGACTACTGACCAGAAGGCTGGCGGTTCAAACCCACCAGCCACTCCTCGGAAGGAAGATGGAGCAATCTACTTCCGTAGTGATACTGCCTCAGAAACCCAAGGAGGAGTCGCTATGAATCGGGTCCGACTCGACCGCACATAACAACAACAACCAGGATATCAAGATCACTGGGTGGTGCAAATGATTTGCACTTAACTATAAACCAAAAGTTTGGCAGTTCAAATCTACCCAGTGGTGCTGTGGAAGATAGGCCTGACAATCTACTTCCATAAGATCACAGCCATTGAAAACCCTATGGACTGTAGTTCTACCCTGAAACATGTAGGGTTGCCATGAGTCAGAATTGACTCGATGGCAACAGATTTGGTTTGGGGTGTCAGGATGTCCTTAGGCAAATCTCTCCTTGGATCTGATTTTCCCTTCCACAAATTAGAAGCTTGGCATAGGTGATCTCTAAATTGTCTTAGTGGCAAGGGTCTGTGATCTGTGATTTTCTTGATCCCAGCTCCAGAGCTATTTCTCTTCTCTTTGAAGTTGGAAGAACTCACAGTGGCTCTAGACTTCTCAAGGTGAACTTTCTCTCTCACTCTCTCTGGCCTATCTCAAGCCCAGTTTGAGGTTGAAATCACCAAGACCCTAAATCTCTATCAGCCTTTAGGGTCCAAAGAGCTGGCAGAATATTCCAGGAAGGTGAGATGGGGGGAGGGAGTAGGAGGGGAGAAAGGTCGGGTGTGGTTGAAGGGGGAGGCTTGGGAGAGTGGAGTGAGGATGGGGGGATGGGCAGAAATGGAGCTAGGGATTCCAGGTGTTTGGTGCTGTGAGCTCTTACCAATGAGGATTCCTCTGGGTTGTGTTTTCACAAGGCACTTCAGCAATGAGGGAACCTGGGAGAGAGACAAATAGTTACCACAGTGTGGCTCCACCTCCATCTGCCCCCAGCATCTGTTACCCTAAACTCAGTCTGACCCAGATTTCTGTCTGAGCCTTGACCTCAGTCCTCCTTCAGCCAAGCGAAGGTCTTCTGTGTTACAGGTTCTGTTCTCCTAAACCTGAGTCAGGGATTCAGCAACCATCCTGGTTTCCTGCTGCTTTGGTTCCCCTGACCCCTTGTTGCCCCTAATGCTGGTGTCCTCTGGCTCAGTCTGGCCCTGACTGAGGTGGCTTATCACACCCAGCAGCAGTAGCAACAGCAGCAGCAGTCGCAGTGGGGCCAGCAGGTGCAAAGCGTTTGGGAGACTAGGAGTTTGTCCAAGGGGCGGCGACCCTGGCGCTGCCCCCATTGGGAGCTGCAGGCCCCATTCCCTGAGGCAGTTCTCCCTTGCACCCAGTGCCTGTGTCACAAAGGTGAAGTAGTGACGTCATAGAGTCTCCTCCTCAGGGCTCTAAGACTTTTTTCAGAGATCATCCAAAGGCTGGCCCTTAACAATACTATGAAGCAGGAACATTTTTGGTGTACTTGTTTCCCCTTCAGGCCCTAGCCCCCACCTCCTCTCTCTGCTCCCACCACCTCTTCTTCATTTGTTGTTCTTGACAACCACAGAGCCTGTCTTCGTTGGTCCCTCCCTTTACTTACTGTCTTCCTATGTTTTCTGAGCTGTGGCTCATGGTCCATACCTTCTTTTCCCTTGAGATATATTTATTATATATTTTAATAACTATTTTCTTAACAGATTTATTAAGATGTAATTCACATACCATACATATACAATCTACTCATTTAAAGTGTACAATGCTATGTTTTCTAGTATACTCTCAGGGTTGTAGGACCTCTGGTGGTGTAGGGCCTAAAGCATGTGACTGCTAACAAGAAGGGTAGCAGTTCAAACCCACCAGCCACTCCTCAGAAGGAAGACTGGGCGATCTACTTCTGTAGAGATACTGCCTCAGAAACCCAAGGAAGGGTCACTATGAGTTGGGTCCAACTCCACGGCAGTGAGTTTGGGTTTTTTTTGGTTCTCAGGATTGTGCAAGCCATCACCACAATCAAATTCTGGAACATTTTTGTCCCCCAAAAAACATTTCCTATTCCCATTTGCAGTTACTTTGTATTCCCTGCCTCAGTTGCTGGCAACCACAAATCTGCTTTCCATTTCTATGGATTTGCCTATTCTAGACATTTCAGATAAATGCAATCATGTAATATGTGGCCTTTTGTGATAGGTTTCATTCACCTAGCATAATGTTTTCAAGGTTCTTCTATGTTGTAACATGTATCAATATTTTATTCCTTTTTATGGCTGAATCATAATCTATTGTGTGGATATGTTCTTGTTGTGTGCCGTCCAGTCGGACCCGACTCATAGCGACCCCTCCTTGGGTTTCCGAGACAGTATCACTACGGAAGTAGATTGCCCCATCTTCCTTCCGAGGAGTGGCTGGTGGGTTTGAACCGCCAGCCTTCTGGTTAGCAGTCAAGTGCCTTAGCCACTATGCTACCAGAGCTCCCATTGTGTGGACATAGCACATTTTATTTATCCATTCAATAGTTGATAGACATATGAGTTGTTTCTACTTTTTTGCAGTTATGAATAATGCTGCTATGAACACTCATGTATAAGTTTTTTGAGGTAGATCCCTAGGAGAGGAATTTCGGGGTTGTAAGGAGTTCTGGTGGTGTAGTGCCTAAGGCATTTGACTGCTAACCAGAAGGCTGGTGGTTCAAACGCACCAGCCACTCCTCAGAAGGAAGGCTAGGCGATCTACTTCCGTAGTGATACTGCCTGCGAAACCCAAGGAGGTGTCGCTATGAGTCGGATCTGACTCGATGGCAGTGAGTTTGGTTTTTGGTTTTAATGGTAACTCTGTATTTAATATTTTGAGGAACTGCCAAATTGTCTTCCAAATAGGCAGTACTATTTTTCAAACCCACTAACAAGATATGAGGGTTCTAATTTTTTTCCTTGCCAACACGTTATTGCTTATTCTTTAAAAAAAAATTGTTTTGTATAATTATAATAAAATATACATAACATAAAATTTACCATTTTATGTAAATCTTCACCCAAATCCTAATAAAAAAAAAATGTGGGAAAAAAAATTTACCATTTTAAGCATATACTCCAGTGGCATTAATTATATTCAGAATGTTGTGTAACAATGACCAGTATCTATTTCCAGAATTTTTTTGTCATCCCTGACAGACACTGTACCCATGTACCTATGTACCCATGTACTCCACTTTCTCCTCCCCCCAGCCCTGGTCACCATTATTCTACTTTCTCTTCCTATGAATTTACCTATTCTAAATACCTTATATAAGTGGACTCATACAGTGTTTATCCCTTTGTGTCTGAAACATTTCACTTAGCATAATGTTTTTAGAGTCCAACCATGTTGTAGCATGTATTAGAATTTTATTACTTTTAATGGCTGAAAATATTGCATTGTGTGTATATACCACATTTTCTTTATTCATTTATTTATTTATTTCCTTTTGACTATTGTAAATAATGCTACAGTGAACACTGATGTACAAGTATCTTTTTGAGTCCCTCTTTTCAGTTCTTTTGGGTACATACTTAGGAACGTAATTGCCAGATTATATAGTAATTTTATGTTCAACTTTTTGAAGAACATCAAACTATTTTCCACTGTGGCTGCACCATTTTACATCACTACTAGCAATGCACAAGCTTTCTAATTTCTCTACATCGTTGCTAAAACGTGTTATTTTCTTTCATTTCATTTATTTATTTTTTTTAAATTGACATCTTAGTGAATGTGAAGTGGTATCTCATTGTGGTTTTGATTTGCCTTACCCTAATGACTCCTCACAACTGGCCCAATACACACCTTCACGGTGGATGGAGAAAAGATTGAAGATGTCAAGGATTTCATATTACTTGGTTCTACAATCAACACCAACGGAAGCAGTAGTCAAGACATCAGATGACATATTGCACTGTGCAAATCTGCTGCAAAAGATCTCTTTCAAGTCATGAAGAGCAAAGATATCTCCTTGAGGACTAAGGTGCACCTAATCCAAGCCATGGTATTTTCAATCACCTCGTATGCATGTGAGAGCTGGACAGTGAATAAGGAAGACCGAAGAAGAGTTGATAGTTTTGAGTTGTGGTGTTGGAGAAGAATGCTAAGAGTACCATGGTCTGCTAAAAGGACTAATAAATCTGTCCTGGAAGAAGTGCAGCCAAATGCTCCTTGGAAGTGAGAATGGCCAGACTTCGTCTCAGCTACTTTGGTCATGTCAGAAGGAACCATTCCCTGGAGAAGGATATCATGCTTGGTAAAGTGGAGGGTCAACGAAGAAGGGGAAGACCCTCAATGAGATGCATAGATGGGCTCAGGTATAGCAAGGATCATGAGGCTGGCACAGGACCAGGCAGTGTTTCATTCTGTGCATAGGGTTGCTATGAGTTGGAGACGACTCAACGCCACCTAACAACAACAATGACTGATTGTGTTGAGCATGTTTTCATATGCTTATTGGCCATTTGCATATCATCTTTGTAGAAATG